GAAAGTATTAGCCCAAGAGACAGAAAGGGCCACATAAACCAGAGACTTCATCAGCCTGAGACCAGAAGAACTAGATGGTGCCCAGCTACCACCAATGACCGCCCCTACAGGGAACACAATAGAGAGTCCCTGATGGAGCAGGAGAAAGGTGAGGTGGAGAGCTCAAATTCTAGTAAGAAGACCAGACTTAATGGTCTGACAGAGACTGGAGGATCCCCAGAAAGCATGGCCCCCGGATTCTCTATCAGCCCAGAACTAAACAATTTGTGAGGCCAACACTTCAGACAGGGATTGGACTGGACTGTGGGACATAAAGTGATACTCATGAGGAGTGTACCTCTTAGCTCAATTAGATACAAGAGACTAAACCTGCAGCTTCTCTCTAGAGGTGAGATGGAAAGGCATAGAGGGTTAGGAGCTGGTTGAATAGACTTGGGGAATCGGGTGGAAAGGAGGAGTGTGCTGTCACAGTATGGGGAGAGCAATTAGGGTCACATAAAAATGTATGCATAAATTTTTGTATGGGAGACTAACTTGAAATTTAAACTTCATTTAAACTACAACAGTAAAAAAAGAAAATCCTATGGAGCACAGTTCTACTCTGACACACACAGGGTCACCGTGAGACTGTGAGGAGGCAGTCTTTTGGACAAGCCCAGTGGCCATGTATTCCCCATTCCTCCCCTGCTAGCAGGTTTAGTCCTCAGAACAAACAACCTGCTACCCTCACCTCCCCACACTCTGCCCTGGCCTGCTGTTTCTCAGAAAAGTTAAAGAGATACATTCCGGGCTGGCCCAAGATGTCTGACCATTCCCCTTCCTTGTGTGGTCAGGCACGAAAATCTACATTACACTCCATGTAGCAAGTCATGTAACTTTGGAAGATAAAATGACTAGGGGAGGAACTTGGGAGTCCCTCGCCTACAGAACCAGGTGGGAGCAAGCGTAGCAGGGTTTTCCAGTCCAACTAACTAGCCTACCTAGCTGGAAGGATCAGCTTAAAGAAGGCCGTTTGAGACCCTCGCCTACGCTACAAAGTGGAGTACGCGTACAAGAGTTGTCATCTCCACCCAGAAGCCTGTTGTGGTGTGCTATGTGCTTCTTTTTGTAAGTAATAAAAGCTACTTTGCATGTGCTAATGCTCTGGGAGCGTCTTGTGTGTTCAGGCTCTGATATTCATGGAGGTATCATTATTAGCAATTGGCATCCTCTTCCTAATGCGAATTAAATATCATAATTGTTAATTTGCATATTGTCTCCCCAACTAGGACCCACTGGTTGGATTATTTCCAACTCAGAAAATCTCCTAGAAAACAAAGAATTTACCTTTCATATCTAATCATATTGTAGAACAGTTCATACCAGATCCCTAGATAGGTTGACAGATGGATGGATGAATGTATGGATGGATAGATGGATTTTTTAAATGTGTAGATAAGTGAATGAATGAATTCTTTCCCTGGTAACCATGAAAAATTGCTGCCAGAGTCATAAATATAAAATATTCACAAGAGTTGAGTAAAAATTATCTAGTAATTGTAATTAATAAACTAGAAAGGTAAAAATAAGGTAAACGTCACCCCATGGGGGCATTTTAATGTATCTCCTACGCCTTCTTCCCAAAAAAGCCTCACAACTAGTGGACTTTACCAGTTCTACCCACATGTGTAGAATGATTTTGCCACTGACACATCACTCACACCTCTTTACAATCGAGATGACACATGTGGTCCCCTAGATGTTCCAACTGGAGGTGTTTGGGGGCAGCTAACTTAGAAGGGGGCTCCCAGAGAAGGTGGGGGAGTTGATACCGATGACATCACAGAGCTACCGCCTCTCCCCCTTCAAAAGAAACCACTCTGCTCCATTTATTTCAGAATCTAGAGGAAGTTGACAACGTGTCACAGCAGTACAGCGCAGTATGACTTGGTGGGCAGTTTTCAGCTTGCTGGCTTGGTTCCACTTACAAGGTAAGAATTTAGAACTAATGTTTTCTTGTTTGTTTGCTTGCTTGTTTTGTTTTTTTTTTTTCTAGCCCAACTAATGCTTTACCAAATCGACCTATCAGTCAGTCGACTTCACTGATGAGGAACATCTTATGGAAGACAACCCAGATCCATTTGCTAATAATACTTTGCAAGCCACACCAAAATCACACATCTGAGGGATGTTACTGTATTTATTTAATTTTCTGTTCAGCTGCTAAAGGGTATAGAAAAGATCATTGTAGTTTGTGTCTCTGTGATCTATGTTACACAAAATGGAACATGTTTATTAAGCTTCTTCATTTTTTAGGGGATGTCAGTTGAAGACGCATGGGTTTTGGACTGAAAAACACTTCCTAGCTGTATGTCTTAGCCAAATAATTTAATTTCCCTGAAACTCAGTTTCCACATCTTGAAATGAAGATAATAAATAATGTTTGACCTACTAAACTCACTGGATTTGGATAAGGATCAAATTTAGTAGGGTATATAAATCCCTTTGAAAATGTTACAGTGCTATGCAACTACTAATCAGTTCAGAGATAATTTTGAGCCCAATGAAAACTTTCTGCTTACTTTTAAAGCATTGGTTATACTTTATACTTTTATTATACCTTTCAAATTTATTTGTTTTCATGATTCTAATGTAGCATTATGAAAATTTAAAAAATTCAGTTATCTTTTTAGCACAGCTCAAATTAATCAGTCTTACCTGAAAGTAATGGGATGGGAGTTGAGGGGTGGGAGAAGAGTTGGGGGGTAGAGGAAATGGTTCCTCCCATCCTCTTCTAATTCCCCACTGAGTCTCTTATCGCAAATTGTAAAGATTCATTTGAAGGAAATCACTCATAAATCCATTGCTTTTGTGGTTGGTTGGTGGGTGGGTGCTTGGGTAGGCAGGTGGTTGGTTGATTTTGAAATACTGAATCTGTAGTTCTGTTTCACATAATGCACCTATCCTTCTAAATCTTCATTCACCATAGAACTACATCTGAAGGACACTATTTTTAAAAAGTGAATATCCTATTTTACATAGTACTTCAATTTCCTATTTTATACACTTCAGTTAGTGTCTTCTTTGGTCTCTGTTCAGTGAAGCAATTAACAAGGATTCAATTTTTGTAATGAGTAATATTAGTTTTCCTCAATAAGGGGCTTAAAGAACAGCTAATACATTCAGAAAGAGTACATTTAGACAGCTGAAATTAGAATGCTTTCAATTATTCCAAAGTTTAGAAGCCCTTAACTGACCTTAACTTTTTCAGGATTTTAATCACTGCCTCATAAAAACAGCAAAAATTATGACATATGGTAAACCTAAGACAAGTGTTTAGATATAGATTATTCACATACTATTTATAAAGAGAGGAAACATATATTTATTGTGCCATGCATACTGCTGAGTACTTTATGCTAATTACATTTAATTCTAGCAAAAATACTGTGGTAGATATTAATATCCCCAATTCACAGATGAGAAAATTGAGGTTAAAAGTAGTTAGTTTTCCCATCTAGTAAATGGCATCATAAATATCAGTCTGCAGAACACATAGTAAAAGTATTATCTCACGCAACTTTTAGTTAATGTGTGTGTGTGCTGGATTATGACAGAAAATGTGTTTCTTAATGTGGATCGGAGCCCTGTTGGTGTAACAGTTAAGAGGATGGCTGCGAACCAAAAGGTCAGCAGTTGAAATCTACCAGCTGCTCCTTGGAAACCCGATGGGGCAGTTCTACTCCGTCCTATAGGGTCGCTATGAGTCGGAATCGACTAGACGGCAGTGGGTAGGGGTTAATGTGGATCAGAAGTTTGAAAGCCACTGATTTACACAATTAGGAAGATTCATTATTGAAAATTTCCAGCTTGAAAACTCATCCAAAGGGCGTCAGAGAATGCATCCAGTTTGGCTCCACAGCTTTTAAGCACTGATTGCCCACCCCGCCCTAGTCCTGTTCAGACCCATCAGAGTCCCAGATGGGGAAGGAGCTGCCCATGTTACTTTCTTCTCAGCAGAAAGGCAGCATTTAGCAAATCACCAATGTTAGCAAAGCTATAAATTGTCACCTACTTTTAGCAAATTGAATAATGGGAAGATTGCTATCTCTTCTTCTGCAGTGCAACTTCTGTGGCTGCTAAGCATTTATAGATGTTTTTAAAAGTCCCACAATCTTGTAGCCTGCCCTCTTTTCAAGGTTACTACTGGAATTAATAGCCCTTAGGATGGGTAAAAAAAGTAAAATAAGAATGGACAATTTTCCAAAATTCGTCCCATTTACCTACCTTATGGACAATGAAAATGTCAAATCCACCGAATTTTTAACCCTTTAGTTTGGTTATTTAATGGAGGGTAGGATCCAGACACCACTAAAGAACAATTGAAAATTGAGTAGGGACCTGTTTGTACTCCTTTTGACCAGAAAAGAGTCACTTGTTGTTTTAAATGAGATTGCTTTTTTAAAGCTATACTGGAAATAATCTGATTTTCATAAATCTGATTCATTTTCACACTTGAAGATTTCTTTATTGGTTTTATCTAAAAATAATAACAATGCCTTTTTGTAATGACGTGAATGGAAGCACATTTTTGCTTAATACCTCCTAATAGTTATGTAAACAGGGCTCTGGCTTGAGAATTAACTCATTGTGTCTCTCTGGTTTCATCTTAGCGCTAGTCTTTATTATTCAGTATAACAAGTACATGACAGAGTTAGCATCTTATTAAAAATATTTATTCCTGAATATACGCATTCACTTATTTTTATCCCTTAATTCAACCAATACTTAAAATCTTACTCTGTGCTAGTCCCTGGGAATATGAAACGAATGAATAGCAAACTTACCCATGAGGAATTTACAATCTATCCAGAGACATGATAATAACCAAATAATTAGAAATTAATGTGCTAAGTGCCATAATGGAAGTATATTGAAAGCCTTTGGGAATCTACAGGAAAGAGTAAGTTATTGTGAGGAAGAGGGAGACCAAAGACTGGTTGGAAAGGCTTGACCAAAGTGATATGACTTGAGATGAGTCTTGAAGGATGATAACAAAGGCATTAGAACGCCAAGAGAACAGCATGGACGAAGGCCACGTGTCTTCTTGAGCTGGGAACTTTTGCGAAACAGCAAGTAGACACCTACGTGGAGTATCTGGAAGAGGGTGCTAGCAGATGACACTGGAAGGATACATGGGAGTCAAGTCATCCAGAATTGTAGCCTGATTCCTAAGGAAGTGGGAGCCACAGCAAATATTTTAATCAAGGGAGGGACATGGTCAAATTTATGTTTTTAAAATGTAATTCTAGAAGTAGTGACCATGATAAATTAGATGGAGGAGGAACTAGATGGGAGCTATTGTAATAGTGCAGAAAGAAAAGATGGGGCCCTTGACTAAGGCAGTGAAAAAAAAAAAAGGAATAAAAGTGATTAAAGAGATGTTTTGGAGAGGAGGCTATGGTGCCTCTGGTAAGCAGGGGCTGGTGATGACATTAATTAACATGAGGAAATATTTGAATGGAGCAGGTGGTATATCTGTGTTAGGTGTTCGTGGGGCATAGGGCACAAGGGAGATAATGAGTTCCGATAGGACACATCAAGTTTGGGGTCACTGCAGGACAGGTGTGCTCTGTTCTGGAGTTTTTGTTTGTTTTGTTTTAGTTTTTGGGTTTTTTTTATTTTTATTGTGGTAAATATATATACACCAAAACATTTTCCATTTCAACATATACAATTCAGTGACATTAATTATGTTTATCACTTTGTCCAACCATCACTATTATTCACTTCCAAATTTTTCCATCATGCTCTGGAGTTTTAAAATTTATTACATAGTATAATGGGGCTATTGAGGCAAGCAAAAGAAAGAATACATTATTTTTTCTTCTGTCTACCATGATGACCTCTAGTTAAACTGTAGATCATACACTGCAACTCCCAAAATCTCAGAAACACCAAAGAACTGCACTTGTTTTTAATCTGTTTGTGATTTGGTAGGTGGCTGTGGCTGTGGTTTGCCCTTTCGCTTGAGGGTCAGTCATATGTGCTTTGGCATGAAGCCATTCCACTGACGGGACAATTAGTTCAGGGGATTGAGGTACAGATGATGGTGAAGGTCGCAGGTTCCAATTTCATATACAGCCCTGGCTCAGCTGGCAATCTTGTAACATATGGCCATGTACGGATGAATGAATCCAGTTATGGAGATAATGACCAAGCCCAGAAGTCAATAATCCACGCAGTAAACACGACTTCCAGTAGTAAGTGTTTTCCTCATGGGAGAAAAACCACAGTCATTCGTGTCAAGCTCTGTATGACCAGCACTTGTAGAGCCATGGACAGCTAATTTGCTGATTAGAACTCTGAAGCCCATACAGGGAGAACTAGGAAAGAGGCACAGGGTCCTCCAGGTCTACACAGAAAGGCTAAGGGTGAATGAGGATATAGATATATTTAGAGCCTAAACGGGAGGAAGTGGTGAGCCAAGAAGATATCCCCACCCCTTCCCTCTGACAAAGAAGGTGAAAGTTTGACTCCAAACTTATGGAAAAGAAAGGTAAAGGATGAGTTCCAGCATAGTTCCCAACGGCAATGAGAAGATCATGGGGAACTTTGCCTTAGATGTCCCATCAAAACTTAGGCACAGTTGTCCTTTTCTTCCACCCTTTAATGTGACCTAGACATGTTCAACATTTTTTAAACACTACAGCTGAAGCAAAGCCTCAGCAAAAGGTGTCTGTGGTTTCTCACTGGGGCTATTCTTCCTTTCTATGATAATTTCCTGTCTCTAAATCAAACATGGGGCTATGTGAAAATACTGCAAGATAAATAGGCCTGTGAAACCAAAAGCCATACATGGAGCAAAGAGTGAAGGAAACAACTAATATTCTGTGCCTCAAACATGACCCTTTCCACCTGAAACTCACACACCTATAGTTGCACTTTGTCTGGTCAGAAGCTTGATACTGTATTCTCAACAGCAAGAGCG